AAAAAAGTCTAAGTTTTGGTTAAAGAACTACTTGGTGTTTGATCTGGAACTAATAAAAAAGCATGACAAAAACAAGCATAGTCACCTCTAATCATGTCCTTATCTTTGCCACAGTAACAAAGGTTAATACTTTTCCCATATGACAAAGATCCTTATCTGCTGTCCTCAGTGGTTCCTGTCACAAAAGGAACTTGCTAGGACACATTGCTTTAATCACTAGGATTATATTAATATTTATAAAGTTCATCTACAGCTCTGACTTCTCTGCACACAGTCACATTCAGAGTTAACACTGATTCTGGAAAATCCCCAGTAATGGGAAACTCAAGTTTTGGACTTGGAGGCTGTGGGGTCCTTGTGTTGATGAAGTGTTTGGATGTTGCAGACTCTGAAGTGCAGCCCAAAGACCTTTTATGTACCTCTGCCAAAGAGCTTGTGTAAAGTGTCCAACCTGAAACTCGGCCATCCTTATCTCTAGTCTGTGCATAATAAGAGAAAACTAAAAAAAAAAAAAAATCTGAAAATGTGCCCTTATGAGTTCTCCTCTCCTAATCCTGTAACGTGGTCCCTCCTGTTTGTATGAAGCATTAGGAGCATAAATAAAACTATAGAAACATGTCCAATTGCAGAGCTCTGTTGTACAGTGCTCAGGGTTTCAAAGGTGTATCCACATATCACAGAAATGCTCAGAAAGGACATTTTCCCCCTGAAAGGCAGAGAATTTCATTCACTCTCCCAACAGAGGTAGAAAAGTGAAAAAWTTAAGATATTACTCCCTTTTTGCTATAATGACTATCTTACTCAGCTGAAGCATATTTTAAACTGATTGTTAATACACAGCCAAATGGTGAAATATAAGAAAAAATGATGACAAATCTGAATATTATTTTCTTAAACAACTATTTTCCTTTCCACTTAGCTATCTATAGGTAAACTGGAAATACGACATCTAACTGTTAGCACTTAAAACATCCAATATAGCACTCTCAGTTAAGAACAGTTAAGAACAAACACAGATAAGACTTTTTCAAGATTATCTACTTTAGTGTAATTAAAAGTCAGATATTTAAACTATCTGAAGATCAAAAAGGTTAAGTGAACATTAAAGTACTTTGATTAAAAAAAATCCTGTTTTGTAGGAGTCTCAATGCAAACCTTGTAAACTTTGTAAAGGATTTTTTTTTTCTGCAAAAACAACTTATTGTTATATTTTTCCTGAGTTAAAAATTAATAATCCAGTTTGCAAAATTCAGTAGCTTCACCTGAGATAAAAGCAGTTTTGGTATTATTCCAAACAGTGAAGAGGATGGGACTGGACTCTTTTCAGTGATCACTGACAGGCCACTGTCGGGAGGAGAGGAAACGGCCACAAACTGAAGCACCGCAAGTTCCACAGGAACTTAAGGAAAAATTTCTTCACAGTGAGGGTGCCAGAGCCCTGGCACAGGCTGCCCAGAGAGGTTGTGGAGTCTCCTTCTCTGGAGATCTTCCAAACCCACCTGGATGCCACGTGCTCCGGGTGTGCCTGCTGGAGCAGGGGGCTGGACTAGATGATCTCTAGAGGTCCCTTCCAACCTCAGCCATTCTGTGATTCTATTACCTTCCTCTTTCTACAAGTGTAGAGCAGCATTCATGTGTTTCTCCATATTTTAATTATTATCCTTGAGAGCAGAACCCCAAATATTGTGGAAGACATTGCCGTAGGAAAGCTGATGAAGCTGATGCCTACTCAGGCATCATCTCTTATTACCAGACATACAATTTTCAAATATTTGAAACATACTTGTATGGCCTGCTTCTGTCAGTATTTTCCTGAATATTGGTGGCACAAATTCATAAACTAACACATAAATCTGCAATGGGCTATTGCTATGGAATAAATTGAATCAATATCTACACAGCTGTGAAGGAACATGAGAGGTCTACAAGTCAGAAAGACATAAAAATACCTTAGGTATATATTGTAGGTCTTGAATGTGATAAGGACACAGCTTTTAAAGCACTTGTAAGAAAAGTAACAAATTTTAACTATTCTTAGCTATCTCAAAGAGTTTCAAGAAAAAGAGGCATATGTGAGTGGGGGGTGGGGGTGGGGAAGAAAATACAATCATTTTCCAAAGTCTCTTCGGTTTGGAACAATGCTCACTTTACAAAACTCTACTAAAGATAGTCATCTTTTCCATGTTATTTGCAAATTTCTGTCACTAAACCAAAAATCTCTTTTTGCCACTTGAGAACAGAGGACAAGTTTGGATACATAAATACCTATATGTATATATGTGTATATGTGTGTGTATATATATATATGTGTGTGTGTGTTTATATATATATCTATACACAAGTACATGTACACACAAATATAATATATATATATATGTACGAAGCTATTTTTTAAGCAAGTCTGTCAGTGTCCACTTAATATACACCTTCTTTTTCCTTTAGAAAGAGACTGAATAGAATGACAGGAAGGTGATCTTCAAAGGTTACTAGCTTCCACTCTTTCTTCCAACTAGAAAATATTACTGTTGCTTCCAGACAGTTAACCCAGAAATAAGATCCTGCAGGGATTCCCCTGCTGGAAGCACTAGGAAAGCAGCAGCGTCAGTGATACCTCAAGACCAAGAAATGTGCATATTCCCAATCCAGTTGTCCTCGGTCCAGGCTTACACTCTTTTTATGAATATTGTTCTAAGAAAGCATTGAATTGAAATTGTTTGATCCTGTAAGATGCCAGGCCTCTCAGCTCTAGCCCTGTCAAGTCCCATATTAATGCRGTCACATGAAAAATCAATACCTGGGCAAAACTGAAAAACTTGGCAGAATCAGGGCCAGAATACCCGGGGTTTTGCGGGACTAATCCCAGTGAYTTAAAAGTAACATTGAGTACTTTGCAACAAAGAAAACCAAACATGCTAAGTTTGCAAAATTTTGAACAAAGCAGCGTGGGTTATGGTTAAATGGCTCCACACCTCACTCTCAACCCCTCCTGGCATTTCCCATGCCTTAAGAACTGCTTTTTAAAGACTCTGGATTGTAACTGGGTGTAATACCACCCTTTTAAAACTCATCAGCTTATTCCTCATTCCTACATGGGTCAATATCTGGTCACAAGGATTTGTTAGGAGTTGGGGAATGAAGACAAGAAAATCTTAAAATCCAAATAAATAATCTTCAATAAATGTCTTTAAGTTCCACACATAAGAGTAATGCCATTAACTTGCTGTTATTAATTGAAGAAACAGTGAATTGATCTTTCACAACAGAATGAGCAATGTTAGTGTATCAATGTGAAGCAGCCAAAAACATACCTTTAACTTTTTATCACTGACAGTTTCATATTTATTCATTTAGATTCTCCATTTAGACATTACAGCAGTAATAAAATAACTGTACACTACTTCTGTTACAAATATAGATACTATTTAAAGTGACTTTACACACTCTAATGTAAGCATTTTTCACTCTAAACCAGGAATAAGTAGAGAAGACCAGTTCATCACCAGCAGCCTCTAGTAATGGTATCATCTGTTTTCTCTCCTCTTAGCCTATCACACTGTAGCTTCTAGAACAATTAATGAGACAGAAGATTTTTAGTTAATACATTTAGATCTAGTTATCACTTAGCTAATACTCTTTCACAGACATGCCTAATACTGTTTTTATCTGCGACTAAAACGAATGCTAGTTTCCTGTCTTTTTCATATTCATCTAATACTGGCCAAAACYATTTGAATTCAGCAATTTATCTTAAGTGACAGTTGATGCATTGACCTTCTTACTACAGTGCTCCTGCTTATCAACACAGGGGTCTTGATGTTAAAAAGACATATAYAACATGCTAATTAGCAATCTGCCTTTCTCCCTCAACAGTTTTAATGAAATGTTTCTGTAGGAAGGCAAACTGTGTCCAAAGTGTGCATTATCTGCCAGATTCCTAAAAGCTGAATAGCTTCTTGGCAAAACAGGAGAGTTCAGTGAGTAAGAAAATGTTTTAACAAGGAGATATGGGAAGCCTCAGGAAGCTGAGAACCATAWCGATCCTGAAGAAAAATTCCACAAATGCATCTTATTTACTAGGATAAACATTTGTGCCTGATAATCTCCAAGTAAGGTAGGTGGCGCTTGACCCTCCTGCTCAGCCTGATGGTCATCAGGTCATCAGAAGAGGAAGGAAGATCTGCTGTCTCTTGCTCACCATCCCTCTGCTGTGAAAGTCTCCAGCTCTCTGCCTATCTCCCTCCTCATCCAGGTAGGGCTCTAGCTTTGCTGCTACTTAAACCTCAACACCGATTTCTTCCACCTTAGTTCAGTGATTACCTGCAAGGCTCAGAGTGCAAAGTAAATCTGCCTTGATCTTGTTTGTTATGGTTCTGCTTCAAGCAGCTCCTGGATACTTCAGCACTGATACTCAATGTATCTTGCATGTTGGAATAGCCTTCACTTGTACACATTTCACACTGGGAAGGTTACTTGCAGACTCACATAAGCTAGAAAATGCTACTACGATAAAAGAAAATCCATCTAATACTGCAGTTGGTGGGCACCCTCATTCACCAGGGAAAGATTCTACGGGCAAACAGATTTTTCAAACCTGAGTACAATTTCTTTTCCTCTGAAAAACTTCCTCTCCCCTAGTTTAATCCCACTGCTTCTTAAAAAAAAAAAAAAAAAAAACCACATAGTTTCTTCTTTTTGGATATACCATGACTTACAAAACTTAAAAAAAAAAAATACAAAAGAAAACAAAACCACAAGAAAATCCAAGTCTTCCTCCCAGCTCCTTCTATTTGGGCATTGTGAAATAATGAAAATCACCTAAATTATTGAATCATCTGCCTCCACATTACCTGCTTTCCCTCTCCTCTAAAACCTACATATTTTGTCAATAATTTTTTCCCCAATAACCTTGCACTTTCTTTTGTTCTTGTCCTTGCCACTTCCTTGCAGATTTGAAGACTTTATTTCATCCARCATTTTCACTATATATTTCAAATATTCAAACCTCCAAGAAAAATATTCCAGTCTCTSTATAACAAAAAATCATACAGCTTTTTCGGTTGGTGGGTCACAAGTGATCATCATAATACTACTAGAAAAAAATACCCACGTCTTTACCATACACGTGACATAATTCCATCCCAGTGCTTTGACAGTAAGACAAATACTTCTACCATATACAAAAATATGATTAAATGTTATTTTTCTTTGTTGAAGTAACATGGTCCTGTGAAGCTGGAAGAACAAAAAGGCTATATAAACATTTCCATTCTCTTTGCTATGCGGAATGTAAATAGTAAGATCTTGTTGACCCTACTCCTCCGGGCAGTTGGTTCACGACAAAACAGTCAGAGTGACTGTTCCTTTTGTCCTTTTTAAAATAGCAACTGCTTCCTCATGGGTCACCCCTTCTAAACTCTGCCCATTCACAGCAATTATTTGATCCCCCCTCTTCAGGCGTCCGTCTTCTGCTGCTGCACCCTGCAATGATACAACACATAATTGCAGACTTGCGCATCTTATTGTCATAATAAATAAGACTCAGTGCCCTTAAGTCTTTCTATTTTCAGTGGTTCTGTCTTATTTACCACACACAGCAACGCACAGCAAGACAGTCTATGAGTTGCAGTACGCCTCGCCTTCTCTAAGTTGAATCTCATCTAGAAGTTGTATCTACTGAACTTTCACACTCCTCAACTCTCCAGAACTAACTAGTATAAAACTTTCAAGATCAAGAGTGCTAAAAGTAAGATTTTTCGAACCCCGACAAAGCATTCCTCAATGGATGTTAGAAATTTGGTAATCAAACCCAAGCCTATACTTTGACTTAAATGAAAGTCTGGAGCATTTGATTCTCTTTTTTGCTGACTCAGGACTGTCTCCTAAGCAGTTCAAGCTATTCAATCCAAAGCAGGACCTGAACTTCTCCAAAACTCAGGACCAAGTTCTCCTATTTTGTATTAATCTACATTTCAGACTCTTAATTAAAACAAATAAAATGGCCCCATCTACTTCCTGAAGACCATACAACCCCAGAATAAGCTGGGTGCTGAATTTTCAAAGCATATGCATAGGTCCAGTTTCTGACAGCTGAAACAGAACCTGCCATACACGATATAGAAGTTATGAGTCTTTCTACACGTACAGCCTTCAAATGGTACGAACATGTTTTGAGTAGTACATGCATTAGCAAAGGAAAGCAATTAGAAATTGTTAACAGCGCCCTGGCTTCAGACTCAGGCCATGCTTTGGCCATACTGAAGATTAATTAAAAAATATCTTGATTGAACAAATTTATACTCAATCATTTACCTTTGCAAATACTGTCTTCACATAAATAGGCAAATCTCCATGGGGACTGCCATATCCCCCCACAATACTAAAGCCCAGGCCATCTGGTCCTCGATCCAGAGTGATAGTCTTATACTGAGGAGGTCTGAAAAAAAGAACAATTGGTATTTCTACATTCTCTTATTTTARGTTTTCAGTATGTAAAATGTTCAACACAAAACATCTTTCATTTCAAGCTAAGTAATGCATTTTGCTTTCTACTGTAACTATAAATACATTAATCACATTGTGCTGGACATTTTAATTCATGTAAAACAATAATTCTGTATAACACTCTCATTTAGCTAGCTACTTCACACACTCCTTGCATGCCTTTTCCACACAGCCCAAAACACAGTTTCTTTGGCATGTTCCTTTAGYAGTTCTTACTAGCCACAAACAGTTGCAACACCAGTATCCCAAACCTCAAAGGACAAAAGGCACAACCTATAATAAAATATAACTTTAAAAAACCTGTAACAGTTGCTAASAAAAGCCTAAAAGTAGCTATCGTAGTTGTTTGCAAGTTTTAAGTGCTCCCTTCCTTCTCTGAAATATGACTGTATATTTGTATATATAGGCATGGTCTATATGTTAGTTGTCCACATTAACTTCTTATGTTTGTGTGCATAAAGAACTCCATTCTCTCTTTCCCTGTTCCTAAAAGAAAAATGCCTCAGATTATTTACAGTGTTTGAAGCAAAATTTGCTCAGCAATAGCTAGAGCTCTATCCTGCAGTATTATGGATCATACTAATTAGGAATTACAGGTTTCTGATGGTCTGGTGCTAGGAAGCACAGCATGGAAGCTAGGAATGTGCTAGGAAGCACAACATGTGACATCCTGGACATTTTGGGTGAATCACCTAATCTCAGTTATGAACAGCACAAGGACAGGGTCTGCTTACAGTGAAGAAATCAAATCACATTGTAACTCTACAGAGGGGGAAAAGGTAGCACAGTGAATTTTATCAGGAAAAAACRGGTATATGACCTGTAGGTATCACGTATACAAAGTGTGTCTGCCATAATTATGTTAAACCATTCATATTTTTTAGAATTTGCAAGCTTTTYAGAAGGTGTACCACTTAAAATAAGAAGCAACAAGGGTTGTATATAATATATTGACTCACCCTAAATCATCCTGAAAAATGCTGGTCGAAGTTAGCCCTGTAAATGACAGATTGGATGTAGGTAGATCCTGCTGCTGACCAGTTATGACACTCACATCTCCTCCAGCTACAACCTAGGAACAGAGTTGGTATGCCAATAAAATGATAATACTGACTCTTAAACAACTCATTGTATTAGCTAACAAAATGGCTTTCAGAAAATTAGTTATCATAGCTTGCCACATTTCTTACATAGAAAAAGGCAATTTGCTAAAATTCCAAGGAAAAGAAGTATGCGCTGGGTTCCCACTGTCTCTCCCAGTTTCCTTGCAACRCAGCCTTTTCACAAAGAATACTGCCAACATCACTGAATTATCTTTTACCTGCAGCTCAACAGTGCCCGAAGCACTCTTCAAGAGACTAACAGCTTGGGAGTGAGTCATGCCCTCAGTAGATGTTCCACAGATACTGACAATCCTGTCCCCAACCTGCAAAAGTGCAGAAGAAAAGGTAGGATATGTAGTTATCAATAAAAAGTAAATATGCATAGATTTACCTCTCATTTTTTTCCAGCAACACCAGATCTGATTATCTGGATTTAACTGTTTTTTTTTTTTTTTTTCTTTCAACAATGCATGATATAACAAAGGAAACTACCATCTCTATATAGCACATTTTCTCTGCAAGGTATAAAGTGAGCCAGGATATGAGCTGATACAGAAGTAGGAAACAATGTCACAACTTCAAAGTTATATTAGTCCAGTGCACTTTATTCTTTCCAGTGTAAGAAAATAATGACTCTTTAAATAATTGATGCTAATATTTGAGGAACACAGAGTACATAGTAAATGAACTTCTATTATTTTGTGTATCTTGAATATGGACAGGCTGATGTAGTTAATTCATACCACAGATTATGTGTTCAAACTCAATCTTGAAATAACCCCTTCATCTCCCAAGAGGTACAACTAAGCATCAGATCTGATTTGCAGAACATTGTTCTGATCCAAACTCCCTACACCGAGTTCTCTACTAGCTCTGTGACACAAGACTGGTTTAGTACCTCTTTCTCATGCATTAGCATTACCTTTTACAAATTACCCTTTGGTACATTGTCAATTGAGTTACTCTCAATCTTGTGAATTGAGTTACTCTCAATCTAAACAGCAACGATTGTGGTTAAATCCAGAGGCACTCACAGCTATACCATATTTTGGTAATCTAGTGCCTTTCCAATCCAATCTTTACCAAGTGTTTAACAATTAACTTACTCTGAGTTTCTGAGTCTGAGCTGCAACTCCGTTTGGATGCATCATGGCGATAAAAATAGGGACATCTCCAAGAGGACTTCCTACCCCTCCAGCAATGCTTACACCTAGTGAATCTGCAGGGCCCTGTTAAGTAATGAGAGTTAAGTAATGAAAACGAATTAGATCTTTCTGGAAAGAAAATTATATGAGCAGAATTTGTAGACTCAACTCAAAAATAAAAAAGAAATCAGAATGCTCTTTTCTCAAGCTACATTTTCAATTACAGCTTTTGTCTCCTATGGGGAAAGCACAAAAAGCAAAATATATGTATATTTTTTCCTATCATCTGCAGGTGAAAACTTGCTAGCACTCTTGCATGGCTTACAATACTGGATGCTTACAAAAGCCAGACTTATATCTGTAAAGTATAGAGGATATAGGCAAAAACAACCAGACAGATGGGATTATATCATCTCCTGCTAAGAATTAYCTGAAAACTAGAAGCAATCTTTATGCTCCCCCTAGTGTCTCACTGTTGAAGGACAAAAATAACCATTATTTCACCACAGTACATTACCTCACTAAGCTAGGATCCAAAGTCACTATCATAAAGAGGCGTTTGTAGAGTCTACTTTGAGAAGAGGCTATCTAAATACAAGCTATGTAATCTGAGAAGCAGGCTGACAAATAAAGTCAAACAAATTAATATATTTTGGACAGTCAGAAATAGTCTCTGGCTTAGACCATCTATTTCTGAAGATGAATAAGTAATTTGAATTTCATTGTTTAAAATCTGCTGAGAATTAAAATCCTCCTCTAATACAAACATCTTCTTTTTGCAACAATAGTGAGGAGAAAACCCAGCTCTTGTATAAGWACCTAAATGTTATGCAATCAGAAAAATATAAAATTGAAAAAATGGGCTTACAACTTTCAGGCTTCACTAAAACTGACTCTGTTTTCAATCTAAACAGTAAAACAAATGACCCTTACCTCTTTCCCTTCACTTTCAAAATAGTGATTTATTTTACACAAGAACATAGACACTGGGAGTCACACATTTTTGACTTGAAAAAGTCAAAAAAGTCCAAATTTCTACTTTTAYGTAAACATAGCTACTGACCATTCGTATAGAATATGTTCATGATACATACCATTTCATATTTTGGCTTACCTTTTTTATTTCAACTGTTCTTAATCCCTGTATTTCAGAAGTTGCTGTAAAATAAATTCCGAATAGCTGTTAAACTAATATTTTAAAGATGCTTTTCCACTGAAGTCATCCAAACTCATGATCATGAGCCTATCTTTTTGCTAGTTTATTATAGACATATGCATATGTTTTAAACAGGTTTTGTAAGTGGCCGTCATTACAATAACAGAATTGAAATACTTCTAGGAAGGATAACAAAGGTCATTTATTCATTCTAACATTTTAAATAACTCCTGGAAAAATACTGCCAWGAATGCTCAAATCAAATAGAAAAACTACTTCAAGCAATATTTAGGATGCTAATAACTTTGTTTTAAAGTTATTTTGTTTTCTTGTTTAGCACAAGAAAACTATCCCATATTTATTACAATGTAGTTATCAGGCTTAATAACTATACTGTATCAACAACTGACCATTGATTTTCATGCGTGATATAGATTAATTATAAAATTGTGGTTCAGTTTGCATTCTCACCATCTAAACTGCTCCTAAGAGAACCTGCTAGTTCTTTTGTAAAAGGCTATTTAAAGGTAAATAATATGTACTACAAAATAACTACCCCCCCAACATTTTAATCACTTTCAGGCCCATTTTGCACAACGACAATGAGACAAAGCAAAGGGYATCAGCTACCAATTTACAGGTAATAAATAGCAAAAGAAACAGAGGAGCCTTACTTGTATTCTTCTTGAGACCACTTTCAAAGACCTCAGGCGCACTGGAACCAGAAACCGGGAAACTGAATGATGAGAGGCTGCCACTTCCTTCACTGACCTAAATACAGTATTRCACTGGGATTAGACAGCAGCCTCAGACTCTCAATTTGCTAGAAAGTAAAAGCATAATCTCCCATATTCAGTTATTTTACTTCTGCTTAACTGTTCCCAGTTAAAGCTGATACACTAAATCTCCACATATTTTTAGAGCATTTGATATGGCTCTGAGTTTAAAAAATGTGATTAGACCAASAGAGGTTGGATGGCTTAAATCCCTGCACTGGCTTTAACTTCTGCTGATGATGGCTGGGTTTTGACCTTAATTGTGCACTATCCATTACTTTGTAAGGATCTTCAGGTACAGACATTGGCCACAGTTATCGAAGTGGACGATAGACAAATAAAACATTTATGCGTTTTCATGTGTACTCCTGCATTCACCCAGGCACTCCATCCAGGAACTACTAGACTTCCACTCAGATACATGTACACAGACCCCAGAAGGACTTTTGCTACACTCATGCATTGATTTAAAGAAACAAAGGAGCTCATGCTGTGCCGAATTCACTGATGGTGACATAGACTCTTCAAAACATTCATCACTTCAAAACATTCATCAACAAAGGAGATTAAGATTCCACAAAGCCTGACTACTTTCATCTTGCTGGGCATTACCCTTTTTGAAGGGAATGCAATGTTTCAGCCCTTACTCAGCCTTAGCCTGTTTAACTTAAAACTTCAGAAGGAAAAGTTTAATTATCTTCACTCCTCTATGATCTGCACACCCAATATAAAACTAGAACTGTTCTAAGATGAGCAGTGAGTTCTTCAGAAACACAGTTCCTACCAAAAACCCTCAAACTTGCTTTATCTGAGATCCACAATGTGAGCTGCTATGGCATCAAGGACGTGGTCACATGCAGAAACTGACGGGAAGTTTAGAATACCAACTGCCTACTGACAGCAAGACCAGCTTACTTCTAGCTTACTGCATAAGCCTGATACTGCAGAAGGGTGCAAGTTTGCTGCTTTTTGTCACAATGCTTATAGTGAGAATATGAAAACAAGTTCATGGGGTTTCCAGAAACACTATTCTCTTACAGCAGAAGCACTTCTAAAGTAACCAAGAGGCTTAAAGCCTACTCCAAATTCTCCACATATCCATGAGAATCAGAGCTCTGTCTGCTTCCCAGGATGCAGCCTTAAAAACATATTTAGGCAACACAGCAAAGTTACTTCTGGAAATTTTTTTTGGCTTGGATTGTTTCTTTAAGAGATACAATATGTGAAAATGAGCACATAAAATGGCTACCAGAAAGCTGTGAAGTACATAAAAGCTCCTACRTTAATTCATCTTGGATCCGGTATGTGGAAATTCATTGTCATCACAAAACCAGTTCTTTCTATTTTGCTTTCATTATTTAACCACATTWGAATTCTTCCAAACTAAACAGTTTTACAGTTACAAACCTGGCTGCTCTGGGATGTTCTCCTCTCAGAATGGAACGGACCAGCTTTTATTCTTCCAACCTCTAGTCTCACTGTACCTAATGAACACTAAAGAAACAGTAATTTATAATGTGTCTTTTCTAAGAAGAAGAATCCCATTAAAACATATTTCAATACTTAATTAACTCATTAAATGACAGAAGAAGAAAAATAAAGGGAAAAAATACAGGACTAACATCTCTACAATGAGCCCTGAATTCATGGCAGGATCACAGCCCTACCAGCTAGGTATGGCAAAATGGTCAACAAAGAGGAGGAAATCTTCTGCATTAACCAATATTACAGTGCAGTCATGAGAATTATGTAGGAACTTAATTCTGTTGCTTTTCAAATAAATTGGAGAAGTATTGATTTCCAAATATATTTTCAAGATATTATTTTTTAAAGATCAATGGAAGTGGAGTATTTTCAAAGTAATCACTTAAAACAGTACAAAATCTCAAATTATCAAAGATTATTTCTGTTTATGTAGCAGGAACATGTTATTTAAATTAGCAGTGAGCCATCTTATTCCTGCTGTTGAAACTAYCAGATTCTGAGTAGATTTTCCAAAAGTTCATTTGTGACTTAAATGTCCTTTCTACACCTGTTTCCCAATAGGAATTTAGGTAAGGCGGAATATTGGGAGATCCTTCCACTACTCCTTGGAGATTTGAATTTAAGGCATAGTTATAAGTATCTACATGGATACACAACATATGGATGCATACTTCAGAAGAAAATTCACCATGGAATCATGATATTTAGAAATCAAGAAATCAGGTTGATTTTGGAAGCAGACAGATATAAAATTATCACAAACTTTTAAAAATCTGGACTTCTGAAATAACTCAGAGKTAAAAGTGCCAAGACAAGAATATCTATCCGCAGGGTATTCAAATACAGAAATTTAAATATTTTATTATTTAGCTTTTCTGTCTTCATTCCACAGGGAAATTATTAATACAGACTCCTTTATCCTTTCAGCCAAATAAATTAATATTACAGTCCGTATTTACATATCATGCTGTATTATATCAAGTACTTCATGTTTTTGTCAGAAAATTCACCATAAGAATCTATCAAAAACAATAGGATATAACCACTCAAATAAATTTTCCATATCGTACAACTAGCATAAATAGTTATTATGCTCTTAGAAGTGACACAAATCAGAGATTCTTCTATATTCTGTGACTGACATAATCAGGGCTCTCACAAAAGCATTTTTTGCTATGGACCGTTCTTGTCCAAAATGGAAAGTTTATGAAGCAGTGTATGTATCTACAATTACCAAATCCTCACAGAAAATGCAAACCCACAAATGAGATTTAAAATTTATTATGCATGAAACTGTGAGGTAATACTTTTCAACTAACCTTGTGAATATATCAATTCACATTAAGTTTTATTAAGACTTCCCTTCATGAAATCTCACATTTGACAAATCATCAAGCCAAATGAGGGAAAAGAATCATCAGCTTTTCACACTGCAGTGATGTTAATAATAATAGTAATATCAAGAACAGGAAGAGTTTTAAGCCTGTGAGCACATTCAGGTGGACTGATTACAAATAAAATATATTTGGATGATCAAAAGATCCCAGATAACTTTCCAACAGTAATTATTTCATATTTCTAACACAATATATTTCAAACAATTCAGGACAAAGCTCTCCTAGATCTTACTCTTGCAGGTGAAAACAGAACAGATTCCTGAATTAAAAATGGTGACAGCCTACATRTGAGAGATCATACTTTATTCCATTTATACTGCATGAACTAAACAGAACCTTTAACAACAATATACTAAAGTATTAAAGGCCTATATTAGAGGTCTTTTTTTTTTTCCCCTCACAACTAGGATAATAAATTACAAGCACCAAGTAAGATGAAGTATTTAAACCTTTGAAAGGCAAATGATAAATGGTAGCTAAAAGCATTCATTTAGATACTCCAAAACCCTCACAAAATGATAAAAAAGAAGGAAGCTTTCCAAATAGAATAGAAATTTCATTAAGGAAAGATGTAAAAACACAGAATATAAAGAAACACATCCTTTGATGTATAATTAACATATCAGATAAGAATGGAAAATACTATTGCCCCAGAAAAGCATATTAATGAGTTCACTACCCAAACGCACATCCCGYTCTGGCCTTCTCACTCATGGATGCATGCTAAAAATACAGGAAAAGTGTTTTAAAAAATCAAAATCATACAGGAACTGTTCAAGACCTGGAAAAATCTACCTTTTAATATGAGTTCAAAGACRCATGATCTCCTCTATGCATCCAAGAGTCAATTGTGAGTAATGTCTGTTAAAATTTTTCCAGTAGTACAATTTTCCATTAGAAAATGCTAACTTGATGAAATCCTAACATACAGAAGGAATGTCTCAAGGCCTTGGTTGGAAAACAGAGAAGCTGGCTGACCAGCTGGACTTCCTGCCAGACCACAGGAAATTCTGTATTTCTAACTTCATTCATTTTTGCAAGTAAGGGGACGAGACCAGAAACTCAGAATTCCTTGTGAACATAAATTCTGGTTCCTGAACGCTGCAGATCTGAGGTTACTTCAGTTATGCTTCTGGAAAAGTGAATTCTGACACTAAATGACTAGTTAACYGGAAAAGGTATCACTGAATTTAGTGGATGTAAGTTAATGAGACATACACACACAAAAATTACATGCACGCTAATAACTGTGAAAATATCACTTGCTGAGTGGGAYAAAAAATCTGAAGTTCTTGATCATTTAAGCCAATTCCAAGTATTTTTCTAAAGATATGAGACATTTAAACAKTTAAAAGTTTGCTGGAGATTTACAGAGCTAGATTTTAGATTGAGGTWGGTAAAAATCTTCTATAGCCCTACGGTGCCATTACTATTACTATGGTGCCAGTTTCATCAGGAAATATACTAAAGTTTAAATGCTTTAACCTTCAGTTTGGAAGCAATAACCTTAAATTTGGAAAGAAAGCTCATTCCTACTATCATCTCATTAACAGCAGGAACACATTGAATAAAACTTAAACTTCCAGAAAATCTGGATCCCAGCTTTACACTTTTATCTACTTCCAGTTTCACTGATACCTTTAGCAAAGCTGCAACAGCCTCCTGGTTAGCATTTCTAACGTCTTCTCCATTCACTGTCAATATCTGATCTCCTTGCATCAATCTCCCATCAGTATCYGCTATCCCTCCTTTGACAATGTCTGACACAAACACCCCTGTATCATTTCTGGAAAAGAAAAAAAAAAAAAAAAAAAAAAAAAAACAAGAAGAAGAAAATGGTTTTCTGCATTACAGCAGTACTGAAAGACTATTTTCATTCTTTGACTTCTTCAAGCTCCTGCTTGCAACTGAGAACACAATGTCCTCTCATTTTTGTTGTGCACTGTTTGGATAGTTCCTGCAGGAAAGGCCAGCTATCTTGAGCAAACAAATGACGCTGAGGCAGAAGCATTGCCTCAGAGCCCAATGGATATTATCACTGCATCACAATGGACAGTACAAGCATGCCCACCAAATCCCAGACACTCACCCTATGTGCACATTCATACCTTTTCCCAACTATACTCAGTCCAAGGCCTTTACCAGGCTTCTTTTGCAGCTCTATATTAAGTACATCATACATGTCTTCCTCCTTGTACTGGGCCTCATCTCTGTATACAGTTAGACGAACTTTTTGTGGTGTCTGTCTGAGGACATTTATCGCTTCATCATGTGTGGCATTCCTGAGGTCAATTCCATTCACCTACAAGGTAAGCATACGCTGATAAATTATGCAAGGCTTTCCAATGCACAAATGRAAGAGGTGTAATTAGTTACTGGCAATACACAGCAGTCAAAAAAAKACAACAGACCTCTAATATCTGATCCCCAGCCCACAATCTCCCATCTTTAGATGCCGCTCCTTCTTCATATACTTCATGGATAATGATTGCTCCCTGTAAATAAATAACAAAAACACACTATGTGATGCAAGAATATCCGCTTTGTGCACWGCAAGAATATCATGCCCCTGCTTTATTGTAAATTGTACAACTACCAAATTAACCAAAAAGTGGCAAACCAAGTCAAATGACCRATGAACAAATTATCAAACTATTTAAGGTCACTTCTAACTTTTTATTACATTTTTTTGGTTTGTTTGTTTGACATTTTGTTTGACATTATCCTGCCTGTTTTTCTTTGGTATCTTTCCATAAATGTCACAAAACCATACAAAGACAAAATCTTTTCCATCAGATATTTTAACGACATTATGCCATTTCACTTGAGGYACACAGTTTTTTTTTCCAACCAACCAGTAATGTGTCTGCTCCTCCAACAATGCTCAGACCAAGACCAGTTCGTCCTTTGGAAATATCAATGGTTGTTTCACATCCAGGGATAATGGGACAGGTAGCTGGGTCAGAAGCTAATGTGGCTGGAGTTGAAGATCTGCTTGTGTCTAAAACAAGAATTAAACACCCTTGTTACAGTACGAAGTCCTGATATCATAAARGTTACTTTAAAATAGAGTCCACTGGCAACTCAAGAGCAGTATTTGACCTACAGAGCACYTTCTCATTGCAAAACACTCATGTATTGAAGCAGTTATTCACTCCCTTACTATGAGGCAAGCACAGTCCTGAACTTTCAGTCACAGCTGCCCAGTCTTGGTGCCATCAGGTACCATGTTCACAGTTTTGAGTTTGCTGGGGACATTAACTGCACCACATACAACGCCCTATATTTGTAATGCTTAAATCTCATAATTTGGCCAGTCAAATGTGCTGTTGAGCACACATAATGTATTAAGAGTGATTTTAAAATATAAGATAAAAAGACAAAAAAACCCATAAATTTAAATATATATTCCAGCAAAGCTGAAACACAGATTACTGATAAACAGAGCACATGTTATACTTCAAACAAATGTATACAAGGATGTCAGCCTGCACTTACATAAAGTGCAGGTGTAAAGTTAATGTGCACCTAAACAAATACTCTAGCTCTGATTCAGATTAGTATGATGCGCTTAGAGAAAGATGTGTGATGCAAATACAGTGACATTTCTCACTTTCAACAATCTGCAGACAAGCCAAAGCATGTACATATATTACTAGATCTAGTGATCCTCAAGCTTATTTACTTACATCAGTATGCTTGTCCACCTTTAACACACTTTTGACATGTACAACTTTTGGAAGGAAGAAGTCCCACAATCCAAATATATATTCTAATCAAGCAAACGTATGTTACCTTGAAAAGTTCCTCCTGACTTTGCAACATAACATACATTTTTATACAATAAGTTACATGTGATCATAAACAAGGTTAGTGTATCTGCTATGCCACAAATGGATCTTTGGCTTGTTTTTTGAGGCAGTTGGAAAAAAAAAAAAAAAAAAGGAAAAAAAGAAAAGAAAGAGGGAAAGGAAGGGCAGGCTAGCAATTTTAAAAGGATTTGAACTTATGTGAACTTATGTGTGTTAAAACAATAAATCAGCAACCAAAACACCTGGAATTTTAAGATCATGTCTGCCACTGATGTCCTGACTGATTTTAAAAGGAACACCTAGCCGAGGCTCTTCCAAAAGGTAAAATCAAACAACTAAAACATTTAAAGCATTTAAAACAAGAGTGCTGATTAAAAGAAATTCCACTGGAACTGAGAAATCAGTCATTCTACAGCATATATAGAAATGTTTATTCTGAAGTATAAATGCACCTTTATACTACTCTTAAGAAATACTTAAGATGTAGTGTGAATATTAGATCCTTCTGGAACAGTAAATCTCAAACCTAGCTAAGGCCTCTGATGGAAACCAGAAGCATGATGAAAATAATCCAAGGGTAAATCTGTGGATTACTGATAGATCTGTAGTTCCAGTAAGAAAAGTCCCTTTGTGTAAGGTGAGAAACTGCTTATGCTTTGGGGAATCAAGTCTAAAGTAAGGTAACTCTGTCCAAAAGACATATAGCATAAATGAAACACAACCAGCATGAACCAAAGATTTGGAAGGGAGCCTTCAGATACAAAGTGGTCCTTACCTAGTTAGCTGCATCAGTAATAATATGTTTGGCCCAAAACTGCTAGATTTTGGTGTTGGTAGCATGAAATTTAGGTATAGAAACAGAAATGAGATCAATAAGAAATAAGAAATTAGTGAGACCTGATGAGGCAAACTGAGGTAAGAAGAGACAGCTTTTAAGGGAAGAGAGAAATATAACAGAATTGTAACTTAGTAGCTCTCAGACAATTTGTGAGACTTTCTTATAGTAATATAATTGTGTATCAATGTTATTAATAATAATTCATAATAGATCACTAGTAAGTAGTAATAGTGGTGTATTATTATAACATGTATATTATTACTGTGATACACTCATTAATCATTTAAGGTTAGTTTATTAGTGCTGTGTTGCTTTACCAATAAYCATGATAAACATTTCAACACAGTCCCACTCATTCTCTTGCTCTAAGAAGACTGACATGACTTTTCTCACCACTTTAAAGGAAATTATTCCCAATTTATCCTGGACAATGATGGCATGGGCACTCACCGCATTGACTTTGGGATGGAGGAGGAAATTCTAGAGGTTTAACTTACTAGAGGTTTAGCTTACTTACTACATTAAACTTACAAGTGGAGATCCATTATTGTATTTAGATTGATCTATATTGCAGAAGACATCTGCGCAGGAAGTAAACAATTTTAAGAGGTGTTTTCATTTCTATCTTACAACCCTCATATGAAGGTGGACACACATGCAGAGAACTTACTTCTGATGGCCTCTGGTTCTGGTGAGCCCGAGGCAGGGGCACTTGGGGGCTGCTGGATATTCCTCCTCTCTGCTAGGGCAGAGCCAGCAGGGACTGGGGCTGCACTTACACTATCCAGCTCTGCTGAGTTGATTGTCAGCTTCACGGTGGCTTTGGATGTCTTCAGGAGACTGATGAACTGAATGATAAGGAGAATGGATGGTAAAGAATGTAACTGCACTGCTCAGTTGTAAAACAAAAATCAGGTAGAACAACTTTTCTGGAAAGTGGAGCTAGGATTACAGTCCCACAATAGTTCTGAGCAATGAACAAGGATGAAAAATCATAATAGAGTTAATAGTGGAGAGGCAGGTCTGGCTAATGCCAATCCACTGGCTTCCACCAAACATGTCACATGAGTGCAGAAGTGTTTGGAGAGCTTCTCTACACAAAATATTATCTGTTTTTACAGTAAATAGTAAAAATAGTAAAAATAGTAAAAAAAATAATGAAAGGGTGGACTCCAATTCTGATCTCACTGTAATCAATGCAAAAACATCTATCAACTTAAACAACAAGTTATTATACCATCCAACAGCTCAATTAAACAGAAAGGTGGAAGAAAAAAATCGAAAATATTTTCTGAACCACAGGAGGGAGAGATGATGCTGGGCTTTAACAAAGAATTCAAGCAAACTCACAAAATTGAAACAAATTAAAGATCTGTGTTTAGGGGAAAAAAAAAACCCTTAAAAATTGCATTGCCATTGCAATGACAAAGGAAGAAATCAACTATGTCAGGCCTTGAATATACCAGCAGAATTAGAAAATAAGATTTTTCTTTTTCCAAAATTGAGGTTTTTCAGTTAATCATTTTGACACTTCTTCCAAAGTCTTCTCAATTCCCTACAACCAACCTCATAACCCCTTTGACATTTAATGCAGAGACAACAGCACTCTGAGGGATGAATACTCTCCTAACCAGCTTTTAACAAATGTAAAAAGATCTTCTGACATTAAAGAACTATCTCTTTTGGTAGCAGAGGAGATGCCATTAAAAAAAAAGGGTCACAATTCAGCAATAATTCATGGCCTTTATGCCACAAATATGTGTCTCTTGATATAACAAATCTGAACCACAGACATCCATACACACAAACCAAAAAAAAATTTTGTAGCACACAGCAAAGCTATTCTCACAGCGAATTAATATGAAAATAGAAACTGAGCTTTTGATTCAGGCTCTATCCTATTCCCAGATGCTTTTTTTCTCATACAGACAAGCCCATGGGTCTTCAGTTCTTTATCCAGCTTTGAAAATGCAGTCAGAGTACTGCTATGGAAACCTTGGTTTTGTTGCAGATACAAGGATTTCAATCATTTAGCATTAGTTTCTGCAGAGTTCCTGATACTCCAGAATCACCTTTTCTACTGGATAGCCTACAACAATTTCATCATCCACTGCCAGAATTTGATCCCCAACTTTGATTCGTCCATCCTAGAAACAAAAGAGAAAACAAAATATTAGCTCTGCATGCTATTCCAGAACTTATTTTTCCTTTTCTAAATGGTCTTCAAATGTTCTCACACCTTTGCTGCTGCACCATGATCTGTCAAGCTCTTAATAACTATTCCATTAACTGTGTCTTCTTCACTAATGGCAATTCCCAATCCTCCTTGATCCTGGGGGAAAAGAAAAAAAAATGTAAAAAAGAAAGAAAAATGCAGATAATCATATCTTGCATTTATGTAAATTCAAGAATGTGAGAACACATTCTCTGAAGACCAGAGAAGTTCAATGACACAACAGAAATTTGGGATTTCACAGTGCTTCTACCTTTCTTGTTGTAAGGTATTTTCTTTTTGAAATAGCAAAATTTTCCAACCTTTAACAACATATCACCTACCTATATACATCCAAAATACTTCTAAATTCAAATCCATTTACTCAGAATCCTACATTAACTGTGACTCAATTGGTACTTCATAAATAGGAGGAATGTGCACAATATTTGGAAATAGTAGACTGAAGTAAATAGAATTTCATGACATTGCTTAAATATGCTCCTTGAAACCACAGAAGAAGTGGAAAATATAGACGATGGAAAAACATATGCTTTTACAGAGGATGGAAAAACGCATGCTCTTTCTTTAAAATTAGGAAATGGTTGTGGCAGAATGAAATTTCTCTGGAGTTTTTACCTAGTAATAAGTCATCTAGATCTATAACACCTAGTCCAGGTTAACAAGGAGAGAGGGTATATGCCTGCCAAGGCTGCAAACTAATGAACAGTCCTAAAGTCTAAGCACTTCATCCGCTGGATACAACTGTCACTCCCATGCCAATAAGCAGCAGCAGCAATTTTCCTAGACTCTTCTGGCAGGTTCGTAATGACAGAACACCTGGCCATTTTCTCTGAAATGCATGATTTCTGTTTCCATGTACATGTTGGTTTGGTGGATTCCATGCTCCTAATCTGCTAATTAATACACCTGAAACAATTTAGGTAATTATTTTACTTGAAGCAGCATCAAGCAGCTGCTAAACCATTAGAAAAATGTGGGCATATGTCACCATATGAAACCAGTCCTGGTTATATGTGGCCCACCCTCTCTCACTACACAGTACCCAGTCTTCCGTTGCAGTCAGAATTTCTGATTCAGCTGAAGATGTACAGGAGGGCAGCACAGGGATATTGATAAGCTGGAAGAGCTGATCCCTAGAAATATCTATTTTGACTTTGACTTAAAGGGACAGAGAGTACCTGCCTTAAGAGTGACACCATTGCATAACAACAAGCTGATAGACATAAAKGTGGTGGATATATTTTCAAAATACCTTAGGGAGTTCCATGTGCTGAATATTTTTATATGAACTGAAGTCAGCAAAAGTGTTGGTATTYGTAGCACTGAGATCAGTCTGACAGAGAAAGAAAACATAATTGTGAGCAACTATTTTCACAATTAGAATAGCTTTTACATTGAAGTAGTGCACAAACAGTCAAAGCGAGTCTGATCCCTTTGAACTGACACAATCCTCTTCATGGGAATAGTAGCTACTGTTTAGTTTACTTGAGCATAAGGTAAAACAGAATCATGAAAACAGCTGTACTATTTTTTTTCTCCTTTCTCTTTCATTTTCATGTTTAGCTTAATACATGGGGCATTATTAACAATAATGTTGAAAACTACCTCAAAGGAGAAAAATAAAAAATGTAGTTTACCTCTTGGTTTTGAAGTGTACAAGGTGTAGTCTCTACTGACTTCCCAGGGCAAACAGCCATTTGATTTACTGCATCTTTATTTCTACAAGAGACATAGACAGAKAATGTGATACAGCAACACCATATTTCTTCAAGAAAGTATAAGCCTAGTTATTTTTTTTCTGCTTTATTTCTGACAGCCACAACAAAAGTATCAGAAGAAATAATATAGGATACATTTAACAGTCAGTAAGGACCATACTAAAAAGCACATCAGGCACAACTGACTTAAGAAAATCACAGAAACACACAGAAATACTCTTGTGCAAGAACTTCAGCAAATTAAAAGTAAATATTTTTAGCAAAATCTTAAAATAAAACTTACCTGATAAAGATTATTTTTACTCTAGATGGTGCACACTTGATTATTGATGAAGCATTCTGGTGAGTCCTTCCAAAGAGTATTTGACCATTTATCTATTTAAAAAAAAATAGCAATTATGTCTCAGAATATTTTAATTCCCTTAAACTAACGTATAAGCCTACAAAGACACACTATTATTCTAATTCACTTGCTAAAACAGTATTTTAAACACTGTATCAAAATTCTGGGATATATYGTGTCCTGCTTTTACTCCCTCTCAGACAAACACTGCCACACTGCTGAAAATGTCCTTCTCTGGGTTACACAGGATTGACTTGGTACATCATCTATTTCCACATGTCATTGATCACCTCGTGATGGGTATAGGGATAAAGCAGAGTCATGGGAAACTCTACCAATAACAACTGAATTGCCTATACCCAGTGACAAGATTTCTATTACTCGCTGAATCTCAACTCTGAGACAGTCACAGAAGAATCGGAGAGCTGGTTCAGTTTAGTTATAATCTAAAGATTCAACCCTACAATCAATGTCTTCATTTGACAGAGGAGACTTGCTAAAACTGTTTGATGCTCATGTGATTCACATGTAATTGCAGATATTAATGTTTGTAGAATTAAGCCATAATTCACTCACATTGGAGATATTAATGTGAGTTTGCAGAATCACAGCATGATTTACAATTTATTAATTATATTTTTTTTTGGCAAATGCAAAGGTGTAGTGCAGAAATCCACWCCAAGAATGGGGAAATAATTTGGAAATTGCAGCTTTCTCCTAATTGGAGGAAAAAATTGCAACAGAGAACACRGAAATACTACTAGCAGATGCACAGAAGTAGCTATCAGGGAGGTTGGTAAGACCAATACAAAAATCAAGAGTGGGCTGAACTTAAGAGCAATCCCTAAACTCCGATGCAGACTGTGTCTATCATGACTTGCTATAAGGATGCTTGGACCTTTCAATCACATGAAAGGTCACAATCCAGATGCAGGAGTTCTTCTGTCGTTCACCCATGCTCATGAAGGACCACAATTAGGAAAAGCAGGTGGAAAAGCTGGACATGGCCCAGCACCACTGATGGGACTTGGGAATACAACAGGCAAGCTCAGACTCTTCCTCCTTGAATAATGCTTAGGTCAAGACRTCTTAGCATCATCTTGCACAGTTACAGTATGGACGGTAAGCAAGGGATTATTTCAAAGATGGCTCAGGTCATATGCGTTTCAGTTGGTTCTGTGAGTTCTGCTGAGGATACTCAGCATCCACTACATTATGGCTCTTGGAAAAGGGCATTAAAACTGATAGTCTTCTAGTAGGTAATTCTGGGCTCTGTAACTTGCAAGTTTCTCTGTGCAGCTGACAAATTCTTCAGCTTTTCTACCAGTCTGCACTTGCCAGCCTATTAGACTGCTCTCCAGGGTTTTCCTCATGCTTTGTGATATCTCACTGTACTATCTCCCTGTGCATCCTTGCAAACCTCTAAATACGGTTTTGAAGTTAGATGGAGTATCCGTGTGTGTTATATGCTACCTACTGCTCTGGAGAGAGTGGGAAGAGTTACAGCAAAGAATGTATTTGCAAACATCGTAAGTGAACTGAGGCAATTAAAAAGCAAACAAACAAAAAGGCACCTCATACTCATATACACTGAAAGAATGTTAGACTTGCATTGCACTGCCAGATCTTTTCATGGTAGCATGAGAACAGCCCAAATGCGTCATACAGAGCCTGTGATACAAGTGATTCTGCTCCTGATCTCCCCTTTTTATGTGCAAAGCGTGTATATGTATGGCAAGTGTATACAGTATATGGTACACAGTGTAATTATATTTTGCATTATCACACCTCTGGTAGAGCTATAGTTATAGTCTATAACCAGCTATAGTTATATAGCTATTTTACACAACTAGTGAATGATGAATACGAATAACCCACTATAGTGATACAGTTATATACTGCACAGTTATACAGTTATGGTCTGTAGCACTCCTCAGGTGATGGACAGAGGAGCTTCAGTGTTTTCCATGATCCACAGTGCATTTCCCCTTCTATCAACAATACAAAAGTAGTAGTCTCCACCCATTCTTAGCCATTTTAAATCAATGCGTACACATACAGATACACACATATATATATTATAAAAAAAAAAAAAAAAAAAAAAAAAGCTGCAGCTATTTGACACACACGAGAATGAAATCTTGCTAATACAGTGATTTCTGGTTGCATTACTTCTGGATTTAAAGGTCATATAGTTCACTGAAGAACATAATATACTGCGCCAAGAATCTTCTTCTATATCTGTTGCAAATCAGTATTTCTGGGTTTCAGGACGAACTGCAAAAACTCACCTCTAGTAACTCATCAGCAATCTGTAATCTGCCGTCTTTGCCAGCTGCTCCATTTGGATCAATTCCCACTATAAAGACACTCATCCTGGATCTGTCTTTGTTGCCAGCGAGACTGAGTCCCAGACCTGTCCTTCCTTTTTCCAGCTCAATCATGTGTAGCTCGCCAGGTAGATTTCCATAGCGCTGCATGATCTTTTCTAAATGTAAGAGTGTGGGCAGCAGAGATTGGATTCACATTAGAAAGTTTCCCAAGTCACTTGGAGAGCTAAGGTCAGCCTTAGAATGAAACTACTTAATGACAGAATCACAAACTAGGTGAGAATTTTTTCAGTATACAGAACACTTTCTTTTCAGCTAAGCTTTAGGTGATTTATAATAGTATGTCACTTCAGCACTGGAAAATATTTAAGCTTCTCTTAAAAAAAAGGGAAAAAATGACTTTATATTAAAGAACAATATAGCCACTGCAATGGCATTTTTAGATAGGAGTGATCCCAGACCACTGAGGAACACAAAGATAAACAGTGTGTTCATCAAGAGCAAATTAATCTAGTATTTCACTGTGTGCATCTCACCAAGCACAACCAAACACTGACAGCAACACAACATCCAAGCCATGAAAAAMATATGAAAACAAAGTAGTTCAAAGTAGACAACTCCATATCTTCTGCTATAATGCTATTCCAATGTTGAATATTTCAAAAAATGTAACAAAAGATAAACTTACTCCAACTGTAACCAAACTCGTCCTCTTTCTCCACATCCTCTGGGACTTTGCTGGGAGATGACTGTGCAACATCACAGCTCATTCCTGAAAATGCTGAAGGAGGGGGCAGAGGCAAGTTACAAAATGAAGTCTTTTCCAGCTCCGAATCTGACTGACTGGATGCCTGTGGAGAATAAGAAAAATGCAGTGGCTAAGCACAGGCAGATTCTGTGTACAAATTAGTATACAAAAATGTCAAAATGGCAATGACTATGGATTTGAAATTTATATAACAAGCAACAGGATTTCTAAGTGAAAAACACAGCACAGAAAGGCTGCAAGAGATCAAAAATGGAAACAAACTCTAGGCAAGGCAAAAGACAATTTCACTCCAAAATATACTGTGAAGCAAAAAGAACTGACAATGAAAGCCCAATTCAGCAAAGTTTTATGTGCCATTTACATATCATAAAAAGTCACATATGAAGGCTCAAGTAATTTTTATTATCATATTTACAGAAGAATTTCATTTTACTTTTAAAAAACAGCGAATGTAATTTCTTCCTGTGAGATACTTTGGAAGCCATGTAGAAGGAAAGGGAAAAACAAAAGAACAATAAATTTTAAAAACTCCTTCAGTCAAGTAAAAGTACTAACTGAAAGAAAATTTAAATATAAAACAAAAGAGATAATTGAAAAAAACAACAACAGTAATCATATGTTTTCAGTCTTGTTTATTAGTTTTCTATAAGCTGTGTAGGGCAGATCAAATAAATATACAGATTCATTCATAAAGGACAAAAATACTTTTGGTTTTGATATGTGTGATTTATTCATGTTCACAAAAAGCCAAATATAACAAATATGAATACTGCAACATTATGGTTGCCTCCACTTGGGACAGTTTCACTGAGGAATACGGGACCATGACTTGGAACAAAGATTTGAAAAAATATCATTGATTTGTATTATTTTGCCTTGCTCAGCACTATAAACAACAGTAAACATACAGGCGAGAATCTCATGCCTGAATAACTTCATTCTGAAACTTATGCATGCGCAAGAGAATTTGGCACCTGGCAAATCAACTGTTGATGTAAACTACATGAAACTTGGGTGAAAAACAGAAACTTTTTTTAAGGACTAGGATTTTCAGGTTTCTAGCTGCTTTATCATCATTTCAGTYTTCAGTACCTCAGCGTAAGTCTGAACACAGCACCTCAGAGGGCATCTCTGGGAGCCRGAAAACACTGTGACCGTTTCGTTTCTGAAGACAACAGTGAAGTGGCTAACAGCATGCACCCTGTAGGGCTTCCAAGTTGGGCTGCATGTCAGTGTAGCTTCCAAGTGAAGGTTTTGAGAGAACCAGAAATTCAGCAATAAAGTCATACTGAGATTTAAGAAAGTTTCCTTCTGTCAGGGGAAATAACCTTTGGGGCATACCTTCATTCTCGGTATGCCCCAAAGAATCAAAGAAAATGCAAATATCCTATTTCAGTTCCTGCTTTTGGACGGAAAAGATTTTTCTCATTCAAAATTTTCCTCTAGGAACTTCAATGAGAAGTCCATAAATGTAAAAATCTAAGGGAAGTGTAAAAACGACACCCAAGGCAATGGCTTAAATTAGAAATGCCATGTTAAGTGCCATATGAATTTTTGTATTGTTGTCTCAACTTTGTCAGTCTGTGCTTCAAATCTCTGGGTCACAGCACTCCATTTAGATTCCTTATATGAGTTAATTTGCACATAGAAATTATTTTACAGTTCATAAAATATGTTCATAGTTATAGAGTGTATTTTACATAAACCTCAATTGAAACAGCTGAATTATAGCAAAAATATTTTTGCCCATCCGAATCTGAATAGGATGGAAATGCAGTTCAAAATGCCTTTTYGCTATCAAAATCTCAGGTACCCAACAAGGAGGAATGTCAGACCACCACCTCAAAGAGGTGAGAAAAAGAGAGGAAATTTTAAGCGTGCATYGATTTACCAGATTGCTTCCTAGAGGTTTAACTCAGAGCACAAAATGCAAAGAAGAAAAATGAGRAAATAAATCAGGGGTCTAGATTAACAGAACTTACAGTAGTGCATGTGTTTTGAATTCAAAATCAATATATTACTCAAATTTCTATATGGATTTCTATAAGGTGTGGACATATAGCTACAATCTGAGAGACAATCCTTTATGAATTGTGGCCGGCAAAATTTCACTGATGGAAAAAAATGCTTCCTTCTACATCTCTGCACAAACACACATAAACCTGCATGTTTGATGTTTAAAGAAATGCTGCAAGGAAAGTAAAGGCAAGGCTCTTTTCTGAGAAGTATAAAAAGAGCAACACTGCACAAGTCAGACATCTGGGACCATGTTCTGCATCCAGAAGTCGGTCTGTGACGCCTGCGCTTCCCGCAGCAGCGGTCAGCTCCTCCTGTTTACACACACATAAGACTTTTCCTCTCTGAATCGGGCCATGTGCAGAAAAACACCATTTCAACTACACCATTTCAACTCATCAAACACTTCCAACGTGCCATGACATAATATTCCATATTATGTCATTAAAAACGCAAAGCATCAGMCAGCACATGAACTGATTTGGCTGCCAGGGTCACTCTGATTACAGACAAGGAAATAGTTAAAAATGGTAGCGAGTTTGCAGTACTTCCACTTTCAGCACAGGAGGGACATTTTGGGGAAGGAGCAGTATTTTGGAAGTCATCACACACCATTTACAAGCACACAGCACACACAGGGTATGACTCACTCACTGGAACCAAGACAAACCTTGAATGGTGTGGGAGCAAAAGGGTTAGTTGGGGAACAACGGAAGGTAACCCTAATTGGATTCGATACCTCCTACAGTAACAGAAAACAGCAATCCATATATTACAGCACCTTTGGCAATATATAATATTATAATATTATTAGTGAAGAACAACTTAATTTAAATCATATTCATTTTACTAATTTCATTTATTCAAGGAATTATTAAGAACTGTGATTCAGTGAAATATCTTCATGTATGTATATAAATCTTAGTCCACTCCTGCAGAAGMAGTGGGAGAGAAGGCAATGGGCCATTCTCATATGAATTTTTAAGTAACATAATTATGGAGAAACTATAAAAAGCATTAGATTGTCTGTATACATATATGAAATGTTTCCCAGAAATATTTTTGAAAATATAGGAAATAAGTCATCATTTTTATTACACTTTATGTTACCCTTTTACGTTACTTCCTTTCCTCAGAACTGTAAAAAATATGGATAAGAATTCAAAAGCATATATACAACTACGCAGCACATGTCATAAATGTTCTTTATACATTTGAGACATCCGACATAATGCAACATAGGAAAAACGAGAGAGGGCACAATCACTCCAAAGATGTACAAGCAGCTAGAAGCTTTGGTATTCAGTCAGAAATGCATGCATATAAGAATTCAGCCTTTGTTCATAATTGCATCAGAGGTCAATTTCTCAATATGAATAACATGCAGTAAGCACTAACCACACACATAAAAAAATTAATCTAACATTTTTTTCAGATTTCCAAAGACATCAGCATCCTGTTCATGGGGCATCAAAAGAAGCATGGGGAAAATAGTTGCATCATAAAATGAAAACTGTCAATTTTTTTTTTTTTTCCTTCCCATGCAAAATAAGAGAGATCACAGCTGGAAAGTCCTAACCAAATAAAAAGAAAATAAACACACAGCAGCGAAACATCTCACACTGATGAGAGATCATTTACGCTCAGGTGGATATTTTAACAGATATCACAGGGACTGATTTTGTAATTGGGCAAATTACTCCTTTAATAGTTCTGATTAGTTCAGACTGAGTGCACATGATTAATGTAGCTGGAATTTTTACCTTCTTCAAAACTTTTCTATGCTGGTACATGATCTGTGTCATTTAAACTCACTACACAGACTTTTCATCCTCATCAGCAGAGCATTTTATCCAAATTTGGTTTAAAAAAAAAAAAAAAGAAAAAAGAAAGCACAGAGAGATACAAATTGCGAAGAAGCACATGCTTGGTGAGTCAAAAGCAGACAGTCTGTCGTCATCAAACCTTGTTAGTGTTGAACTGAGAAGCATCAGCAAATGGGTTAGTGCTGCTGAAGACAGCTGGCCTGCAGAAAAGATTGCTCTGCAGGAAAGCCAGGGAGGGGCTCTAAAAGGAAAACATAATAGAAACCAAGCAAAAACTTCAGATTAAACTTCTGTGACTCATGAAACAAACCATACTTCTTTTGCAGTCTGTGTTAAACATAAAGATCGCTGCACGCACTTTGCTACAGACATGGGAACACGGTCAAAAGTGCATTTGCTCTGTGCCTCTAGAGCAGAGCAAAGTACTGGCCTTCATTCCTGTCCTAGCCCAACAACCATAAAGTCTGGAATTCAATAGTGTGAAAGACAGAAAATTTAACTGCTGTGATATTTGCAAAATTCTGTCAGTGTATCTTAACACGTGGAAGCCTCTGAAACCTTTTTATTAAGAACTACAAAAYTGTGTAGTTACAGAATAAACCTAACTCAGTGATAATGCAACACAAAGCATGTGTACATATTTTAAAGTTTTATTAAACTCTCTGGTCCTTAGGAAGTACAAAGTACTTAATATTATTGTGTTATTTTAACATCAAAAGTGTTGTAGTATTTAGAAAAAGAAAAAAGATTTAATTTGAACTTTCATTTTCCTTATGTACTTTTTGTAATGCACTCTGTTTTAGGATCAGATTTCTTTTGAACAAACTTGTTTACCTGCAAGTGAGATAAAAGAATTCTGATATTGTATAGTAAGTTGGAAAGGCTGTCAAAAGAATGGTTAAAAATAATTTCTATAAAGGGTGTGCCCTTCTGGCTATTGTCTGAATATTTCATTGTTCTTTGCTGTAATGTCTCTTAGTGCTGTTGGAATAAGCATAATAAGGGGAAAKGAATGAAAAAGGCTAGCTACATTAAGTAATACATTTAGAGATATATGTTGCTGTTTACGTTTTTCTAAAAAAAAATCCTGAAAATAATAGTTCTGGCAAATTTCMAAAATAATAAATAAAAAAAGTTATTATTTAATTTGATAACTATGTTCTACAGCATCTTAAGTACTGAGGAACTAAAGCTGTAGAGCTATAGAGTTGTTCAAGAGCAAGATTTCTTCACTGATAAGTCACTCAAAGGCCAAAGGCAACAGGCAAAGTCTTCCCTACACAAGATTTTCTACTTACGCATGCAATTCACATTTGACGTCTTGTATAAAGACAGTCTTGGGAGAAGTAATTTATAAGTAAAATGATCCTATTACACTTTAACCACCACATTTGCCATCTGCATAAAATTTTAAACTGTATYTTGATAAAATGTTATGCAAATAGAAAAAGCATCACAAGCATTTTGCATATAAACAGTGAAGTCCTAGTAAAAGAGAAAACAGCTCAGTCCACAGTAGTTCAAAATCTTTTATCTTTTGATATGATAGCATAGCATGTAAGAGACAACTGATAGCTCAAATTTCTACCCATGTGACCACATTGTATTAATTTGGACATCATAAACTACAGAGCACTTCAGTCCACCAAGACAGGTATGATTTATTCAGTATGCATGAAGCATGTTTTCTTGCACAAACTAAGACAAGCAAAACAAAGACTAAAATAAAGTGTTTTTTTTTCTTATGATCTTTGTAAAGTCAAAAGTAAAGGTTTATTATTATTATTATTAATGTTGTATTTTCACAGATGCATTCAGGATGTTCAGGTACCAGAAGCAAGCAAGTATTTTGCAAAGCATAATGCTGTAGCTCTACAGATTGTCTGACACCATAACCCCAGTGGCAAATTCATTCTTACTTATAAATAAACAGGGCAGCATCAGAACGAAACACAGCTTTGCTGGTTAACTGCTTGCAAGTCAGAACTACTGAACTAGTTTATCATGACAACACAGCCCATATGCAACATCTTGGCCATTATGCTGTATGCTGAGGCCCACTTTACCTACAGGAGCCTGAATAGAGTGGAAAAGGACAGAAGAAAAAGAGCAGAGAAGAAGGGAGGGAGGGGGAAAGAAGGGAGGGAGGGGGAAAGAAGGGAGGGAGGGGGAAAGAAGGGAGG